AAGCAGTAAGGTGTAACTGTTGACACCCTAAGTGGTGAAATAAGCCCTGCCTTATTGAAATCAAGGGATCTCCCTCCAGCCAGGATCCACCAGAATAGGGAGCCATATCTACCATTCCAGAGGGAAAATGGGTTTTGCAATTCCCATCTCTCTTATGTTCATCTTCCCAACACCAGTCAACAGCTATGTAACTTGTATTTTTCTCTCCTCCTCATCCCCATTCCATTTAGCCCACCTCTGAATGCCAAAACACTGTGGCATCTCCATCGGGTGTCTCCAGAGAACCTACGGACATATCAGACTTTCCCCTCAGGAAAGAGAGTGACTTCGCAAGAGAGAGAAGTCCGAGACAGCTATTTTGAGTATCGGGCCTGAAGGAATGCTGTAATTGCCACCATTATCACTATTGATCTCAGCAGGAAAGCCGGAACTGGGAACTATGAAGACTGGGGAAGGGGAGATCATAAAATTGATGTTCTCTTTACTGTTTGACCACATCTGCTTCCCCAATATCTGCCTAATCAATATTCCATAGAAATTGAGATTGTCAGATTCATCTCAGACCAGCACTCAGGCCAAACATGCTGGCTTCTCTTGCTCTTTTGTTGCACTCACCGGGAAAATCCCATTTTTCCTGGCTGAGTACTGGTAAGCCAAACCAGGTTCACTCAGCATCCAAGAGCAGTGAATTGGCAAGGACTTGGGGGTTGATGATTTCTTGTTCAGTCTTGCTCCTCATTAAGGTAGGTTCATGTATGGCATGACTGTATTTGTGTTGAAGATTCAGTGTTAACTGGATGAATGTGATCCAAAGCAGAAGCCTACAGATTGGTGCTGCTCCTCAAGTATTTTCAGAAAACTATGCAAATATGATGGTGTATGTGTGTGAGACAATAATGATACTTGTACTCTGTGGTTCTATTATTACCACCAATTCCTAGATTCATGGAGAGAATCCAAATCACTGATGGTCCAAAACTCCACTCAGTAACTCCTAGCACATTGCAAAACTGATAAGGGTAATACAGCCAGCCCTCCATATCCATGGATTCAACTATCCACAACTTGAAGATATTCCCCATATTTTGTTTTCCAAAAAGCAAACCTTGGTTTTGCCATTTTGTATAAGGGACACCATTTTACCACACCATTACGTACAATTTTGGTATCTACAGTGAATTTTGGTATCCACAGTGGATACCAAGGACCCATTGTAGCAGTAGTGATAGTAGTAGTATGCCACAAATATGGTCCTGGTCCCTAGCACATTTGAAGGCTGGTGATTACTGCACTGCAGTAATTAATCTGCTGATTAATTAAATGATTCTGCCTTTTCTGGAATTACTGGTCTTAAGGGAACCATTTGGGCAGGAGGTGGACATGTGTGGAGAACTGGAAGGCCTTTTCCAGCTCCTTCTAGCAATAGCAATAGCAATAGCATGTACATTTCTATACTGCTTATCAGTGAACTCAGCACTTTCTAAGCTGTTCTGTAAGCTAATTGCCCCCAACAAGCTGGGGACTCATTTTACCGACCTCTGAAAGGATGGAAGGCTGAGTGAACCTTGGAGCCCTCCTCTGGGATCAAACTCACAACCTTGAGGCTGCAGTCCCAGCATTTAACTGTTGCACCCCCAGGGCTTCGGAGTCAGTGAGGACCTCATCACTGTCATTTTTGGAGGCCAGAAGGAACATTCTGGTCCTCCCAGTTTGTTTTTAATGTGTTTCTGTATTGGGGTTTGGGCAAAACCACAACCCCAAAGGTAAATTTCAGCCAGAAACCTGCATTTGGCTGTTTTTTTAAAAAATTGGGTGTTTAAAGGGAAAGTCTATACCAGGGGTTGGCAACCTTTGCTTACCTGGGGCCGGTCCCTTGCGGTGGTCCCTTCCGGCCGGTCCCTTGTGGTGGTCCCTTCCGGTGGGCCAGGGGGAAATGGCGGCATGCGTGCTCATGTGCGTGCGCGTCCCCTGTTGCCACCGTGCGCGCACTGCCACCACCACTGCCTCTGCACATGTCGCAGCCGCCATATTGGCAAACAAAATGGTGGCCGCGACGTGCGTGGCCGCACGGCAGCCAGAACGCACAGCAGTGGTGGCGGGCAGTGGTGGCAGCGGCGACGGGTCAGCGGGGGCTGGTAAGTGGGGGTCTGCGGGCCGGATGTGGCCCACAGGTCGTAGGTTGCTGACCCCTGGTCTATACAGTGCCCATGGGGGCAAAGGTCACATGATTCCCACTCCTGCAGTATTGTATAGTGGTTAGAGTGTTGTATTGGTATTTGAGAAAGCCAGAAACTAGTCCCCCAGAAGGAAATAATTTCTAGAGAAACTCATGTGAGTGATCTTGAACCAGTATATATTATCTTTCTCTCAGCTTGACCTATCTCACAGGGTTGTTGTGAGGATAAAATGGGAGAATAGAGGAGAGACATGTATGCTTCCTTGACCTAATTGCTCAGCACATTGGATAGTTCCTTTAAAGTTCAGACAACCATCCTGATCAGATTTATCACCCCACTGACATAGAATCCCCTGTGTCAAATAAATGTTACTCTGCAATAAAATCAGTTGATTTGCTGCTAGTGATACTCTACAATCTTCACTTGATTCTGTGAGTCCCACTGGATCCTTTTTGTTTTTTGTGGCCGACTTATTTGTTAGGTTCATTTACATTCTGCTTTTCTTCCAATTAGGTCCGGAGTTATGGGGCTGGGTGTTATCAGTACGCTGATGTCACCCAGATCTATTTCTCCTTACCTCGATCATTGGCCTTGAATTCCAATGGCATCTCTCCTCTCAATGACT